AAAAAAAAAAAAAAAAAAAAAAAAAAAAAAAAAAAAAAAAAAAAAAAAAAAAAAAAAAGAATTCGACAAAGAGAAAACGCAACACATTGGATTATCATTATAAACTTATCTTTTTTTCATTTTTCTCTTTGTACCATAGCATTATTATATACCTAGTCGACTAATCGAAATTAAAGTAATAAAAGCTCTCTAGATATCATAATGATAAAGAAAAATAATTCACCGCTAGCTTCGATGTGATAAAAAAAAAAAGCTTGTTGTATTGATGATAAAATTAACACTAATATTTTACCTCCATCCTTGATAGGACGCAGCTCAAAAGTTTCCAAAGTTAAATCGTCGGGCTTGGGCTCGCCGTCAAAGTGTTTCGAAATCACGTACTTCTTAGCCACAAGCATGATTTCGCCAAATGACTCTTTTCTTTTTTTTCAATTTCAAATAATAAAAAAAAAAACAGATTGAAATTATTTTCTTATATACATCAATAAGCGTAAGCTATGTACGAATTAATACAAATTAATAATGTATGTGTAGTACAGGTTGACGATGAGAAATGATAAACGTTTATTGTCGCTTAGTTGCAAGACGATAGCCTGGACCGAAGAGTAGACGGAAATAGGTACACATGCAGTTAGCGAATACGTGCAATTTAATTTGCAACTGGCACGGCAAGGCGATTTTTTAACGGAAGTTTTTTATGAGTAAATGTATGTTAATGTGTTATTATTTTGGTTGGTCTTTTGGACTTCTAACCGCGCTTTATCGCTCAAACCACTCAAAATAAATCACGTTATCTATTCAACGCAGGGGAAATGAATAACAGCTGAAAAATGCTTGCATTGCGATATTATTTTATATTAATTATTCAAGTACGAAACCAGAGAAATCACAAATATATTTACATCAGTTATTTACTCCATATGTATAAGTTATCGAAAGGAAAATACGTTAACGATCACAACGATCATACCGATTTTATATGTAAGAGTGAGCACTATGCTATTTTGGGATAATATTTAATTTAACTTTTAAACTAAGTAGCTACAAAAGTTTCTTTAAGTGATATCGACTTTGAGTACTTAAAACGTAATTACGTGCATAATTTCTAGTTCCAATTTCTTGCTAAAAGAAATTACAATTTACAATAAAAAAATACAAATTACAATAAAAAATAGAAATAAAAACGTGTATATTAACTCTTTTTTGTAATTTATAAAAAATAAATTTTTAATTTTAACTTTAAATTAATCAATTACTTAGTATGCTTAATATTTCTAACAATAATTTTTTAGTACCAACTCTATAGTTATTGTTATTTCAGAAAAAATTCATTTTACATAATATTGTATATCGTACGTTACAATATATTAAATAATAATTAGGTCAAGCTAAATTTTTTTTCTACAAAAATATAAACATACATTTATTATTTATAAAGCAAAAATGTGTCATTCATTTTCGCCAAAAGTACGAAATAACTATCATCTAGACATTCTTAACAACCCAAATGCTCTTTTGATTAAAATGTTAATTACAATACAATTTTTTTTTCTCCAACTATTATTGTGCTGGTTTTTCAATAGAACATTGGAAACATATTTAGATTTTTCAAGTTGATGTAAATGTTGAAAATTATTATTCATGAAATTTGAATTTAAATATATAAAGTTCACATAACCTTAAAACGTATGGTCATGTGCAAAAATCAGGAATTAATGCTGTTAATCAACAAAGAAAAAAAAATGTTTATGAATTTGTTGTTTGGAAATTTTTTGTTTTAGTAAAATAGTATTGATTTTTGATTATTTTACTTAAAAATAAATATACACATTTACAACACATGAAGGCAACGAAAGTTATAACTACTTACTTACTCTTTTTCCCCAGTATTTGTGTATATAATAAATTTTGAATTAACAATGTCAGCAAAAATGATGTCACAAATAATTAGGTAAATGGTACTCTTTTCTCTCTGTATTTTATAGTCTTATTACCACTTTTGGGCGGTTCGGCAATAAGTATAATATTATCACTAGGTACTGAGGTATTGTTCGTTCGCTGATTATTCAGTTTCTCCCGCCTCCCGCAACCGCTCCTCAATTCAATATACATATACTTAGTACAGTATATCTACATAGACGAAAGACGAAACTGCGGTCGCGGTGTGTATATTATATAAATATACTAAATACTAAACAATACTAACAATAGAATAGTGAACGAACGATTCAACGATCAATGAACGAGTCGAACGTATCTACTTACCTCCTACCCCCTACCCGTTGTTGAATGTCTCTTCATCGCTAGCAACATAGCAACATTGCTTCTCGGATAAATTAATTAATTACTCTAATATGCATGATATAATTTTCAAAAATTTTATTTTTATGTACAAAGTCAATAAATAAATAAATACTTAGTTTAAAATAATAACTATGTAAAACAATAATGTGGCTTCAAAACTACATTACAAAATTATGCCGATGGTAAGTACAATTTTTCATAACCCAGGGAAAATGTGATTTCGATCGTTGAAGGAATAACTAGTAAAAAGAAATTCAAATTGTAAGGATTGGGACCAAAGTGAGAAAAAACTGAAAATTTATGAATGTGGCAGTGGAATTATTCAAATCTATCATACAATTTTAGCTCCCTAGTCTTTGCTCATATTTTATATAAAATATATACAATGTGCTTTGAATGTAGGCACAAAAAATTTATAAGCTATTCAAGGCTGATGGCAGTGTTAATACTGCTCCTGGCTTTTAATATTTTCTCAGAACTCTTGGGCACTCGTATACGTTCCTCGGGCTTAAGGATTTCAGCAATTATTTTTTCGTCACTGAGACGCTGCTTTGCAGGCTGTTGTAGACTTGCGTCGCTCGACTTTCGCGGATTGACGGTACTACAGGACGACAATCGGCTTTGGGTTGACCTTGTGCTGTCTTCTTTGTTACCGGGTGACTTTCTGGACTCGCGCTCGAAGCAGTCTATAGGTCGCCCATTTACTTTCACGTCATATGATTTGCGCAGCGGTGTAACGATAACCGCCACACTAGGAACATGTGATGATTGCCCGTCTTTGGATTCACTCGTGTTTAGCTTCAAAATTGCTGAGATTTCTTCGTAAAGCTACGAATATATTTCACAACTTACTTATTTATTTATACATTTAACAAAGAACGGGAGTGACCTTAAGTATATGCAAGTTAAAATACAAAATAAGTGAGTAGGCACTGGACGTGAACAAGGATAATATAATTGATTTATAAAAGGACACTTTTTAGTACATTAGTTAAGTACTGGAACTTACCTTATCAAAAGAGGAGTCTAAGAATAATTCTTGTAAAAATCGCCTTGCCTGAATACGATACATGTTACTTGCTAAATGCGCAGCTACCTCGGAATACATGCACTCGTCCTGTCAAAAAAAATTATTGTGTAAGATTTTTCACATTTATTGAAAAATAAATCTAGCAATTACCTCAAACACCGCGGGATATTGTTGCCTTAGCATGAGTAATGATTGTCGACTTTCCTTATGAAAAACTGGATTGGCCAGCTGTTGAGTGTGTTTTAAAACATCTCTGCAATAAGTATTAATAACAGTTACCTTACAGTGAATTCATAGAGATTTATTAAAAAAAAAAAAAAAATTAAAAAAAAAAAAAACTCACTTGCGAGGTTTGTCGAGGGACTTGCGGAAATCGACTTCGCTACCAGTTACGGAATCATCAGACACGCTTCTCTCGCGAAAACAGACAAGGCAGATGCGCGAATGATCCGTATTGATCTCGTACTCTGAACTCGACTCATAATCTCCATCGCGCGATGTTGAGGATGTCCTCTGATGTTTCGTCTTGCCTTTTGGCAACATCAGCTGATTACTCGTGCTGGGAATCTCGGATGCGAAACTTTCAGTTACACTGAGCTTAGTGAACGTGGCAGTGACAGCTTCTTCCGAACTGGCGTGTGCTCCCTCTTCCAGCACAATGGCTGGTATCGGTGATGCACAACGCTCAGAGTCACTCGCTGCCTGAGGTTTTTCCACTTGAAGGAGTCGATTCACGTACCTCAAATCTTCGTGCAAGAGCGAAACTTCGCCTGAATGGATTTCCTGTGACGGAAATGATTAGTTACGAACAAACCATAATCTCATGCGATTCTGTTGAATGAAAAACTCACCTGAGCCAATCTCGTTTGGTAAACCTGACGATTTTTATCCGACGGTTTGTCAAAAAGCACATCGGACGGAGTGGCATCCGGAAATATCTGAGTAAGCTTCCGTGGCAACGCAATACCTACGTAACGCTCGTTACCATCGTTACTGCTATCTTGAGATGAAGTCAATGATGCTGACATTGTCGTTTGATTATACTTATAGATCGGATGAGATGGAGTCGACGGAATAATAGATTCGTTCCAGCTGCGCACTGACTCGTACTCTGATAAACTTTGCAGGGAAAGACGATCTTCTTGGCTATGCACATGCTACGATCATAATTAGTTATCATTAGTAACTTGAAGAAATTCTAAAGAGGTGTCAACTAGTCATTTTACCTCTCCGCTGCTGGGGGAGTAGCTTGGCCTGCGATACCGCTGTAGGCTCCTGAGTTTTGTCAAGCCTTCTATATCTTGTTGGCTGAACCTCTGCGAACTGGGTATAGGACTAGGAGTGTCACCTCTGTCAGGCAAATACAGTCTTCGTGACTCATAGTCCGTAGCAGCACTCTCCGATTGATTTCTCTGCCTTCTTATTACAGTCGGCACATCAGGCAGCTCAGGTCTGCCGTCGCTCAAACTTCTCTGATGTCGAGATTGCTGTCCCAATAACCACTGCTGATGATGGTGCTGTTGTTGTTGTTGTTGTTGCTGCTGCAGCAAACTCGGCGAGGGCTGACGGAAAGTTGGAAATTGATGCGGGATGTTGAACGTGGAGGTCGACTGCAAGATCGGCCAGAGCATACCACGTTTGTGCGTCACGCACGACCAGTCGTGCGTTGCAAGGGCATTCGCTCCGGCGCGGCACGAGCCAACTATACTCAAAGAGTATATAGCCACAGCTCGGACTCCAAAGTACGGACAGCTTTCCGCAATTGAGCATATCAGCTCGATTATACCCAGGTTGCATAGCTGCTCAACACCCATTGCTGACGTACCCGCGTGTCCCAGCGCCCACAGAGCAGCTTTCACTTTTTTTAGTCTTGCTGTAAATGAAGCGAGCTATTTTAGCTTGTTTGATATTTTCAAGTATTTTAATTAATTAAATCAAACTACCATATAGTTCACCGAAATTACTGTCTTCGCGCGAATCCGGCTGGCTTCTCCAACTCTTCTCGGGCGTCGTTCTCCTCGAGTCATCTTGACTAAGCTTTCTCTTGACCTCTACGTGTGTAGATTCAGATCGCCGTGGTATGCTCGTTTCTTGCGGCTTTTCCGTTATCTCTGCATCCACTATCGTCTTCAGTCTACTGCTCGTTTCCATCCCCTCAGTCTTTTTATCCTCGCTCCTACCGTCTTCCCTCGTCCCTCCACTCTCCTTCAGACCACTGCTCGTATATTCATTTTTAAACCTCTGCAAGGTACGCGCAAATCGCTGCAGCACGTTTCTTCGAATCAGCTGCTGAATACCGAATTCATGCTGAACGAATTGACCTATTAAATGCGGCGGTACGATCATATCCTTGGTCGTGAAAACTGTTTCTTCGTCGCTAGTGCGTTTTTGGTAACAACCACTCTCACTGCGCTGTCTACGCGTCAGCGAATCATTGATTGCAGTTTCCAACAGACCTGCATAGTATTCTGCTAGACCGCCAGGTTTTATCCACTTTTCCAATTCTTCAGCCGCAGAAGGCAATGACGCAAATGCCGAACGAAGGGAGTAGAAGCGGATTTTTAAAAGGTGGCCCCGGTTTCCTAGTTTCACCATCCATTTGTTCCAATTTTTGAGAATATTTTGCTGTAAAAAAAAAAAAAAACATCGAGTAACATAATTTTTTTTCTTCTTTCAACTTTCACAATTAATTTTAATGCAATTTCAAAAAAGGGATACCTACGTAATTACTCGTTTTAATAGCTCTTTTTTAAGCGTTACGCAGAGTGACAGTGTTATAAGTAGCGTTTTAATTTTCAAACTTGAATTGAATTATTGAATTCAGAAGTAATAGGAATAAAGGCTCAACTATCTACACTGGTTTTCAAGCTACCCGAAAGTTGCGGTCAAAGAATAAAAACAAAATCGATAAGTTACCTCAGACTTTTGGAGCACGACCTCGAGTAGCTCGGGCTCTTCGCAGGCTTCGTGAAGCGCCTCAAGCGCTGCATTCGCCACAGCCGGGCTCGTGTCATTCAGTTTGTTCAAAAGCAACATAATCACCCAATGGTCCGCGTCCCTCTTTCTCGCTCGCAACAGAATCCTCAGGAAGCGTGTTGCGTACAGTCTCGTGCTCTCTGACGACGCGTCGTTCGCCACCTTGGCCAACACTCGTCTGCTCAAGCCTTCCCGCAAGTAATCCAGCGACGAGACAACAAGCTTGACGTAACACTGATGTTTGGTGGTCACGGCCAAATCTTGAAGCTTGTCAAAGAGTTGATAACTGCGTAGCACCTCCACACCGCGAGCCGAGTGACTCAATTGACCGATAAATAGAAAATACTTCTGACAGCAGGTGATGGTAACACTACGTGGCGAGAACAGTACATTGTGCGCCGAGTTCGACATCCGTAGCGCCATTATGTTTTCGGCCACGTCGTTTATTAGCTCGTTCAAGTAACGTTCGCCCTCGAGCTCGTACATCTCAAGCAACAGGTTGATCAGATCGCAGCCAGCTAATGTTATTTCACGCGCCTTTAGTGCATTCGTCGTCAACTCGATTCGACTGTACGCGTTCGAAGAGGGCCTAAAGTACCTGAAGTATTTTTTAAAATATTCATCATTCCGATACTGATTTGACCAAGGTGTACACAATAAACAAACAAATCAATAACAATGGTCTCTAATTACGCACTTGATAAGCTTTTTTATAAACGTGCGATGATCGTTATCCTGCAGCGACATGAACGACTCGTCCCGCGACCTCAACAACGACCTGATGGACGGCCAATTCCAGTAGTGAGCGTCCTTAACATTCAAAACTTGAGAATCCCTCAACATCAGCAGCATAGGCGACTCACGCTTGAGCCAGTGCCGAACGTTCGAGTGTCGACGTAAATCTCGTTGTATACTCGGTCGCAGCCAAGCTCCAGCCTGAAGAAGCCGATCCATGAACAAGCTCGCGGGAGTCGGCCGACTTCGCATCATTGTTTGCATTCGATTCAAAATCATCATTGCTACCCATGCCTGGTGTTTATGGGAGCCATCCGAAGACGCGTACTGCAATAGATTCGGCAACGGCGGTGTCACGTCGCAGATCTTGAAATTTCAACAAAAAAATCCAATATCAAGATCCAATTGAACACGCTTATGATCAATGTCTTTCACAAAACATATATGTACCTTGGAAGGAAGTAACGAATGCACCAGGTGCAACAACGCGCCCAAGAGCACGGCCGCTCTCACAGAAATAAACGTGTCCGAGCACACGATTATCTCAGCTAAGGCTCGGTGTAGACCGACTTCTATCAAAACGTACACCAGTAAGGCTAAATGCTGCTCTGTGAGATTAGGACTGCTCGATATGGGTGGCAGAATAATTCGGCCTTCTGCCTCGACGAAGCCAGCGTCGAGTTTCCACGTATCTCTGAAACGTCGTGGATCGACGGCCGCGAGTGCCACATCCGGTTCGTCGGTCCACGTTGGCAGAGGCAGACCCAGTAGTTCGTAAAAAAGTTCTAAAACTGCGCCTCTTACCTACAAAGTAAATTATTAGTTTCAAGAGATACGAAAAAATAGAAAAATAAAAAATAATCGACCTGTAACTGATCGATGTACAAAATATCCACTATAGCTTTGATCCCCGAATTTTCATTAGGATGGCAGAAATGCATAACTCCTGCAAACGACCTCAGTACACTAAGTACAGCCCATTTACTTGCGGCGTACGCCTCGCTTCGTTCTTCTTCACTTCGACCCGTTTGATTGATAGGCTCAAGTTCACAGTAAGGCGCGGCGATGCAGAGCAACGACACGTGAGATCGGGTCTCCGGAAAACTAAGCAGTCTTATGAGTACGCCGACCGTAGCCTCGGCTATGTGAGGTGGTTGGTTAGTTGCAGCGACGCGTGCCACTGCCGTCGCACCTCCGCAACTAATGAACAAGTCCTCGTTGAGGATACTCAGTTCGCAAAGCGTCGCTAGAAATGCACGGAACAGGTTGTCGTTCGTCTCTAAACCTGTGGACAAAAAATTTTTTTTTTTTTTTTTGTTGAAAAAACAACGTTGAAAGTTAAATTAATTATCATACCAGCATTAACATTGCTAACAAGTGAACGCACGATAGCAGGACTGAAATGTTTTGGAGCAGTGACGAGCACCTTCCTAGCTAGCCTGAGAGCATGTAATCGTTCTACATCGTCACGCGAGAGAAGGTCCAAGCTGCGAGCCACAAAGTAGCCGTACTGCAGTTTATTCATCATCAGGACATCTTGCTCTGTATTAATGAGATGGTGTAGCATCCTGAGCGTTGCTGCACGAATTTGCATCGTCTGATCGAGCATACACAGGCGGATACTGAACATAAAATAAAATTAATGGATTGATTGATTTATATATACGAGAATCGTGGAGAGGTAACTTACCAGCGAAATAGTTCATCCTTGCTGTATCCATAGTCCGTAGCTTCGCTGTCACGGATAAATTTAACAAAGCCATTGAGATGACCCACCTTATGAACTCTGGATACTTCATTACGACGGCACAAACTAGACAATAAATCTCGCATACTCTCTTTTATATCTGGAAACGATATTAACATACTTTATTATTAGAATGTTAAGCTATCCAACAGATGGGATAGTAAAACATTAATTAATTTACAATGAGCTATCAAAGTTATGGAAACTACAAGCATGGAGATTTTTTAAGAATTTCATTACACGCGAAAGACGATGATG